GCCATCTCCCAGCAAGGCAAATCCTCCTATGACTGCTCTCCACAAAGGGACTGCGCTTCTTCCATGGCCCAGCCATTAGAAGCTATTTTTACCTGCTTCCACACGCACAGATGGGCCAGAAACAATCCAAGCTCAGCACCCGTTATGCTTTGCCCAAAAGGTTTGCTCCCTGCTTTTGCTGAGCTGCCAAAACAGTTGCAAAGGAGCAGGTAAAAGTGGGTAAGTGATGGCCAGGCAGCTGCTGGAGCGTGCTGAGAGCAACGGCTGGGGATGACAATAGAGAGATGGAAAAGAGTTATTCATGTTTCCCCGAGAGCCGAGATCAGTTGAAACATCATTTTCCTTGGGGATGGAGAGGAAAGAGCTCCCTTCAAACACATCGTCCCATGAGACTCATTAAAGGCTCATCAATTACAGTGAGAGCAAACAATTCAGGGGAAGCTCTGATAAGCCTTCCTTTGGCCGGCAGTCATTAGCAGCTCTCTGAGCCGATGCCTCTCCCCAACACCGGCTCAGGGAGCAGAGAGGGAGCAGGGGGGCAAAGCCACACCGGTGAGGGGGCAAAGCAGGAGCCCAGTGTCTCAGAAGGCAGCAGGAGGGGACCAGTCTCCATGGAATCCCTGGGGACACACGGCAGCATCCTCGTGGTGAGCACAGGGAGGAGAGGAATTTGCAGGCTGGTCTGGAATGAGACTTGGCAAGGAGATGGTGGCCCCACTGTAGTGGACTCCTGCTGCTCCATGTCCTCTCCCAGGGTTTTTTAAGGAGCTCAGGGCAGTGTTGTCTCCATAGGAAGTGGGTGGAAGGTGCAAGGGGACAGGACAGCTCGCTGGGTCTCCAGCCAGCAAGGGGTTCCTCCAGCCCTACCCCACACAGCAGGGGGGTCACTGCATCAGTCCTGAGAGGGGTGACAACACCTCAACAGTGTCTCAGCCCCTGGGGAGGGGAGGGAGAGGGATGAGGAGATGCTCTTTGCCTTTCTCTGCCTTACTTCCCTGCTCTGCAACTGGGATTATGGAGAAAAAAAGAAGTTATAGAACACATAAGAATCCTTGGAAGGAAAACAAAGGGCTGGGAGGACTTTTTAAAGTCACTTCAAAAGTCATTACTAATGAAAGCTCAGGGAAAGGGGCTGTTTTCCCATTCCCAGCATGGCTTCTGCACTCACTCCCTTCCTCTGCATGGGCATCTCCTTCCCTCACACGTGGGCTTGGCACCAGACACCTCTCCAGCCGCTCACTGCTGTGACCTCCAGGATGCTGACTTGGAGAAATGCAGGAAACTGTTCTTTATGGCTGGGGAAAAAAAAAAAAAAAAAAAAAAAAAAAAAAAAGACACTTTCCTGTAAACTTTCCTTGGCGCTCCAAGCTCCGTGATGTTCCCTGGTGGAGGCATTGGCAGCATCAGGCCACACTGCACCACTCTGAGGAAAGGCAGCAGCTGCACCAAAACAAACTCCTAAATACCCCACTCTGCAAACTGTAACATCCTGGGCCACACAGTGCCCCGGCCTCCCTTGCTGGGAACAGCGTGAGCCAGTCCCTGTTTAATGCCAAATGCAGTTGTGTGACTGCTGCCCAGTGCAGGATGGGTGTCCCCAGGCCATGGGTGCTGCTCATGGGTGTGCTCTGGGGCCGCTCCCCACCGTGGGCTCCAAATGCTCACTGAGGAACAGCACTGCCACTGTGAGCCTTGACCCACGGGCTGGAGGAGAAACACTCCTGGTTCTTCAGATCTCCAGAGCCAGAGAGACCATATTGCAAGCAGCCCTTTGCTGGAGCAGCCCCGGGGCTGGAGCGGGGCCATGGCTGCAGGACACGGCGCAGGTGTCTGCCCTGTGCCTGCTATTTAAGCCTCCCTGCTAAGTAGCTCCTAACCTTTCCCTTCATCCTCTCCTTCCTGCCATGGCTGGCCGCCCAGGAAGACGGGCAGAGGCAGGCAGGACTAGCAGCTCCCACCCAGGGGACTGGGCTAATGCCATTTACTCCAGTCTCTGCCAGCTGGGTCTTGGCTGTGCACAGACCATCAACAAGCACATGTCCTTGGGCTGCAGGCCCAGAGGAGGAGGTAGAGAAGCCTGAAGAAGGGGTTGAAGCTGAGCCTCTGAGCCCAAGCAGCAGGAAGGCTGGGATGCAGAAACCTTCCCCACCCTGCCCCCCAAAACAGAGCTGGCAATCAGGACTGGCTGACGGCGCTCGGCTGTTGGCCATTAAATAATGCAGCCTGATTGATTGGGCTGAAAAGTGCTGTGCTGCGGGGTCAGCCTGCTGGGGTTACAGTTCTCAGCTTAGATTGATGATCCTCAAAGGTCAAATTCAGAAAGCAATTCCCTGGTAAAATTGATCCTTTGGATAAAAAAACTTCTGCACGGTGGCAAAGGGCGAGTGAGAAAAATCAGTGAGCTGGGCACAGGCAGGCAAGGTGAATGTCTGCCTCTGTTTTCACTTAGTTTTCCTTGTTTACACCAATTAGGAAGTGAGGATCTTGTCTGGGAAGGGCAGAGCTCCATCTCACCTACATGCAGTGGCTGGGGGACCTCCTTGAGCACCCACCCTGTCCCCATCCTGCTGGCCAGGGCAGGAGGCAGCTGGGGCTGTCCCAGGAGCTGGTTCTCAGCTCCCAGCTCTCCTCAGCAGCAAGTGAGCAGTGTGTGTGTAGGAGCAGACACATCTGACTGCCCTTGTTTTCAGCAGGAAGTCTGGGTCCCACTGCTTGGTGAAGGTTTTGTAGCTGGAGCCAAATTAACGGTGAACAGGTCTCACCCTCCTGCACTGGCAGCAGCTTGGAGCCAGAAGAAGCACCTCAAAACATCTGCTTGGCTCTTGGTGGGGGATGTCAGGAGCAAGGATGTGCTGTGTGTGGAGGGGGTTATTGAGGCTGTCCCAGGCCACCTCAGGGACCAGGTGGTGCCTCCCTGTGGCTGCTGTTCCTACTGTGAGACTCACAGGGTCAAGGACTGGAGCCAAGCACTACCCTCCACATCTTCCCAACCTACAGGGAAAACAAGGGGCATGACAGTCCCTGCATTCCTTGTACCCACTGCCCTGGGGCTCAAACTCGTCCTCAGCTGGATTGTGATGCTGTGCCCTGGAGCTGGTCCCATCCCTTCACTCCCACCAAAGGAGGAGGGAGGAGAGATCTGCAGCTCCCAGAAGCTGTTGCTCTGTTCAGGCTGGGCCCAGAGCAGCAGCAGTGAGGCTTTGACCTGCTTTAACCCACTATCTTGCCTGCTTTGCTCTCGTCTGCTCGTTTTGAAGTGAGAGAAGGAGGCCACGCTGTGTGGACGCTGAATAATTCAGAGCCAGGCTCCGCAGCACTCCGGGGCTGGGCATCACCTCTGCCACAGGGCTGGGACAGCTCAGCCAAAATCCTTCCTCACCAGAGGCAGAGGGGACATGGAGCATCTGAAATTTAGCCTCCCTCCCGTGTAGGTACCAGCCAAAGTCACTTCCTTCCCCTGGATGCTTGGATTTGTGACCCGTTCCCAGAGCACCGATGATGCTCGGAGGCTGTTAATGCTTTCAGCCGTGACGCGGCATCTCCAGCTCTCACTAACGCACAGTTTCAAGTGGAGCATGCTGAGTGTGTCTGCCTCTGCTCCCTAGACCATGTTTTCTTCCTCCCTCCCTTTTATAAACTGCAAAATTCCCTCCTCTGCTTGGTCAGAGACAGGGCAGGATTGTAAGATGGGGAGAGAGATCGTTCATCCAGCTTATGCTGAGCCTCTGAGCGGGGTTTGCTAGAATTAAGGACAGGGAGGGGAGGGAGGGAGGAAAAAAATCATACATGAGGTCAGCTTATCCAGCCATGCGTGAGGAGAGCACAGCAAAGGCGGCCTCGGTGGGTCAGGCAGGTGGCTGGGGAGCTTCTTTGGGGGCTCCCAGGGAGAGGGGAGAGGCACCAGGAGCTGGGGAGGCATGTGCAGCACCAGCTCCCAGCCTAATCCAGGCTGTTTATCCCGGTGCAGATAGAGCACAAGGAGCAGCAGGCCATGTTTCCTCTGTCTTCTCTGCATGTGGTTCATTCCCTCAGCTCTGCATCTCTTCAGCCTTGTGTAAAACGAGGTGTCGCCCCATCAGATCTCACCCGTGCACAAAAGGCTCAGCGTTACTGTTTTCCTAATGCTTCTGCATCTGAGAGTGTAAATTACGGCACAAAGCGTCGGGCTGTGCTAGGGATCGACTGTCTGGAATGAAATGAGATGTTTTGGTCCCCAAAGTCTCTGTCTGATGGTCTGAGCTCGGGCCCAGGAGTCACCAGAGCCACGTGTGAGTTATGGGCTCAGTCTCTGTGCTCTGCGCAAGTCACCTCCAGAGTGTGAGCAACAGGAATTATTGTGCACAGAGATAATTATTCCCTGCATGCTGCACTACAGCTCATTAAAAGTTTCTTAATGTTTGCAAATTGCTGAATAGTGTTTTTAGTTGTTGCCTTCTCTGATGAGGCGCATTCTGATGGTGACTTGCTCTCTGTGTTATTTTGGTCACAGCAGGCTGGGGAAAAGGGTTTGTGCTGTGCAGCTTCACACCACGGGAGAGAACGCTGCTGACTTTATCACAAGGGGCAAGGGCCAAAGTCCCACCAGTGCTGGCCACGCTCCTCCATCTAAAGCCCAAGGCTGCCTCCCAGTAAAAGCCTCCATCTGAGGTAATCACCCAGATTTCTGTAATGGCCCCGAAATGCGAGTGACTCCTTCCTGGAGTCTCAGCTGGAGACACTGACTTACCATCAAAGTCTGTGCTGCTCCAGTCGGATGGTGGGAGTAAAGCATCTCTCATCTTGGACTAGAGACAGCAGATGCACCTTGGGCAAGGAAGTGGACATCACAACCCCAGCACAGATACCTGGGGAAAACAGCTGAGTTCAGTGATAAAGTCCTGCCGAAGGAACAGAAGGGGGGTGACCAGCCCGGCTTCAGCACTACAATTTTCGGCACTACACCAGGGGCAAAGAGGAGCAGCAGTGACACCTGACAGCTCTTCCCTGTCTTCCTCCTCCAGGTGTAAATGCAACCTCCACGCTAACCTGTGCACCTTCAAAGAGGGCAGCCTGCAGTGCGAGTGTGAGCACAACACCACGGGGCAGGACTGCGGCAAGTGCAAGAAGAACTTTCGCTCCCGGTCCTGGCGAGCAGGGTCCTACCTGCCTCTCCCTAACGGGTCCCCCAATGCATGTAAGTAACCTGCTGTGAGCCAGCCCTGGCTGCACTCCCACCTTGGCCTGCACAACACCCACAGACGGGAGAAGGGTCTCATCTTGTCCTTCTCCAACTGGAATCGGTGCAGGACGCTCAGCTTTCAAAAGGGAAGCGGGTATTTACCCCTGTCTTTGTACACAGAGATGTGAAAGAGGACCTGGTGGATGCAGAGGTGGTATGTTGGCTGCTGGTAGATGAGCAGTGAATCTAAATGATGGTCAGGCATAGGGAGGGTGACCTCGGGCCAAGGTGCAGGTCCATGGCTTTGTGGCAGTGCAAATTCTTGCCCTTTAGAGAAAGCACTGTTAACCACAGCAGAGCGCTGGCTGTGGAGAGGGAGTAGCAGTGCAGGTTGATTCCTGGATCCCGTTCTGTGCACGTCACTGTTTCAGGCAAGCGCCGCGAGCTCCGGTCCCTCTGCGCAGCCCCAGTCTCATCCAATTGCTGCTGGAACAAGGCTCTGACAGAAGCAGAGGCACGCAGGATGCATCCCCACCATCGCTCGAGCGGGGGATTTGGGGCAGGGAACATCACAGATGGGCCAGTTCCTCCTGGGTTTCTGTCCAGTCCACATTAGCAGACTTGTTTAAATGTCACGGAGCCACGGTAGCCACTCCGGCCTTTCAAGCAGCAGCTTTGAGCATTCCCAAAGAGAACCTTTTCCCTCCCACCCCCCAAATTTTTTGAAAGATTCATGTGCTTTAAGATGATCAAAGCTGAAATTCAGGCTCCGAGGGCCGTGACAGGAATGTTTTGTGTGTGCCAGGGCTGGTAGATGAGCAGGTTCTTTGAAAGGGAACGAGCTTGTCAGCTCCCACCAAGCGGCTGCATTGCTTCAAAGGAGCCTGGGAGAGTTTCTGGTGTTGACAGGCACAGACATGCTGTTCTGTCTCTTTCCCTACCCTCCATTCCTTGTGTCTCTTCCTATTTCTCTTTCTCCTCTGCTTGCTCTTCTCCCATTCATCTCTCTTCCCATCTGTCACTCAGTCCTCTTCCTCCTCCCCGCCTCAACTCTCTCTGCTGCTTCCTCCTCCCCACATCAACATCCTCTTCCTCTGCAGCAGAGGCAGTTCTCTGAAGCCCTCTCCTCTTGGTAGTCCTGCACCTCTTCCATTGCTGCTCCTGTGCTTTACATTCATGCAGAGCTGAGACTCTCCATGGCTCACCCAGTGGTTACAGCAGGGAGGAGCAGGGCCACTCATCTCCTGGGTGCCAAAAGCCAGAAGCTGGCACTTGGATGGACTTTGGAGCTGGTGCCTTTGCAGCATCCTGTGGAGCAAAATGCTGCAGTGGGAAGAGTGTCCAGCCCTTCTTGCTCGCTGAGAGCTGGTTCAGTCCCTCCAGCTTGTCCTCAGCCCACTGAGCCTCAGAGGATGTGATTGTCCTTTGCTGGGCTTTAAGGGCCGGTCAAGAAAATGGTTAAGAGGAAAAACCATCAGCAAAGACCACGCTGGTTTTCCTTCCCCACATGACAGGCTTGAGATGCCAAGACCCCAGACAGCACTGCCTGGTTGCTCCTGTGGTCTGACAAAAGCAGCTTTTAAGCTGTTTGTTGCAGCAAACTGATGTGCCCATGAGCAAGACCCCCACTAAATTAAAAAAAAAGTTTGGTCCAACATTGTGTGACTGTGTGACCTCCTGGTCACAGGGTTGGTGGTGTCCTGCTTCCAGTGACTGGGCTTCTTCTTGTTTCTTCCAGGTGCAGCTGCGGGCTCGGCCTTTGGCAGTAAGTAAAACCCAAACTGAAATGCTGGCATTTAACACCTCGGTGCATGGTCCTTGTGGATGTCACTAGAAAAAAGAAATACGGTTATTTTTCTGTCCATTATCGTTTTCCAGGCAATAAGTCTTCCCTAATTGTGCCTCATTTTCTGTCTTGTCGAATGAGTCTTACATTTTCCTCCTTTGACTTCAGCAGCCTCATTTTGCCTCTTCCTCTGGCATGGTTTCCCCCCATGAGGTTCGTTAGTATGGCAGCAGGAAAGGAAATAAAAAAAGACTCTTCAAAATCACCAGCGCTTGCTGTGAACTCCCCCCCCCACCCCAGCCCCAACCCCCCAGGATTGCAGGATTCTGCTCTGAGAAGGAGCTGGGTGTGAATTATTCGGCATAGAATCCAGTCTGGGTCACCTTGGGCTATCAATAAAATAACATGTAGAGCGTGTGTGCATCTGCATGTGCACGTGTATGTGCATGAACACATGTCCATGAAGTGTCGGCAGCGAAGGCAGCAGAGCTCAGTGGGGATTTCGGCTGCAAGATTGATGGGCTGAGAGGACTCCTTATTTAACAAAGCTGGAGGTAGTTTGATATCAAAGAGCCTGGAGTTTTGGGTAAGCAGAAGCCCGGGTTTGAATTCTGTGGCTCAGAATTCCCCTCCAGAAGAAACAAATCAGAGAGCTGAATGAATAATGAATTCTTTGGTTTGCAGGCAAGCGGGAAGAATTGGAGGAGAAAGAGTTTCAGAGAAATGCAAATGCAATTAAGAAAAATGCACCTAATTGACAAGTGGAGGACAGGTTTTCTGGGTAAATGAACCATATTTAGATTTTAAGCAGTTAAATGCTTAAAATTTTCAAATGAAAATTAAAAGTCTCCCTTCAGTAATTTAGAATTAGAAAAAAATAAATGTTTTAACAGTCCAAAATGTTCTTCACCTTCCTGGTCAAAACCATTTTGATAACTCTTTTTATCCCCTCTTAACAAAGCTTGGCATCCTCAGCCCTACCTTTGTTTCACTGGAAAACGTTTCCCACCAGAATTTTCTGCTGGGGAGAAGCTTTGGGGGTGCTGGGAGCGACGTTCAGGAGGTGGACAGGAGGGATTTGTGTCCAAGGCCAGTTAAGGAGAGATTATTTAGCCCACACAGGAGACTAGAAGTGACCTAAATTAAGTATTTAAACTAGCTCAGGGCTATTATGAAATTAAGCACGATAATCTGCATGAAGCAGTGGGACAAACAAGGACAGGAGGGCAGCAGGTGTAAGTTAAGTAGGAATTTGTGTTTGGGTGTTATTTCAGTTCAGGTTGTTGTGGCTCCATACCCAGGGCTCCTCCTTCCTGGCTCTGTGGGGGCTCCCCGACCCTGAGCCATCCTTTAATTTGAAGGGTGCCAGTGGAAATGAGCAGGTGCCAGTGATCCTGGTTGGTTTTGATGGTGCTGAGCAGTTTGGGGCTGTCAGGAGGGAATGGTGCTGTGTAAGGAGCACAGCCAGGCACGTGGACACTGGGCAGCGGAATCACAGCTTGGGCTGGGAGTTCGTCCCGCCTGCTCCTCACCCCATCCCTGCCCACACATGCCTTCATTTCCCCTTTTCAGCCTAATTGGCAATTAGTTTATGATAGAGCTGTAAGTATTTAAGCCAATATCTGCACCAGGAGAGTAAGCTGATACAGCCACAGCCTCCAGCCCCTGCACACACACACACACTCTCATGTGCTCGCTGTGTCCGCCGTCATCGAGCTGCCGTCGCCTTAATCCCCTCGGTGCCCCAGTTGTGACCGTGCTGAGAAACCAGTCACCACTTCAGCCCAGCAGCAGCCTCGTGGGGGTTGCAGGCTGGCAAGGAAACCCTCCATTCCCCCCAGTAAGTGCCTCCCACCTCTTCTCTTTGCTTGTCAGCGTATGAGCGACCGCAGCGGGTAAACACCCCAAAAACCACCACCGCAAAAACGACCACCACAACAACGCCCACCACCACCACCACCACCACCACCTCAACCACCACCACCACCACCACTGCCACCACCACCACGCCCCTACCAGCCACCACCACCCAGCCAGGTGGGTGCCACGCTCGCTGCCTCACCTGGAGGCCGGGACTCTTCCCAGCTCCTCTCTTTTTAGCTGCTTCCCATGGGGCTGCCGCGTCGGTGGCCCTGGATATCTGCTCTGTAGGATGATAAAGAGACATGGATAAAAATCACCCTGACTCATTTCACGTCTCCCAGCCTCCAGGCAGCTCTGGTTTGCTGTTGTCTGTGTTCAGCTCCTGTCTAACATGAGCCAGGAGCAAGGTTTATGGTCCCTGTAAGCAGGGACAGCCACGGCAGGTCCACCTCAAAGCCAAGAGACAACCACCCCGTGGGGTGCCATCCCACCTCACCAGCTGTCACTCTGTTACCATCAGGGCAGCCAGAAGTGAAGCTGGGACTGGATGCTGGGGAACCATTGATTTTCACTGTTTTAACTCAACTTTGTTGTTTTTTTTTAAAAACAGAAGGTTTTCAAAATCCATCCCTTGGACTTGGCAGTGCTGTCCTGCACAGGGCTGGCAGGGCTCTCTTACAGCTCCACCACGAGGCAGGGCAGGAAGGCAAGGAAGATTTTCCAGTCCCATGATAAAGTTAAACCACACATCTCTCTGGAAAGAGAGAGGAACTGCACCACATCCTGCTCCATCCCTGACCTCCTGCCAACATTCCCCAGGCAGCTGCTGTACAAGCAGCCAGGGAGCGTGTGGGGCTGGAAGTCACACACGTGCCAGAAACATCCTTTCCTAATTTCCAAAATCACCCCGTGGAGGAAAACTTTTGTCCTTTTCCTTGGGGGTTCCTCCTTCCCTCCCCTCCCCGTGAACAAGGAGACGACGGCGTTTTCGCCTGTCTTTTGGAAATGAGCAGATAAAACTTAACAGCAGGACGTTTTTTTTAAGCTTCTCATGGGGGAATTAGACACGCATTCCTCCCCTTGCCATGCTTTCAGGGCCTGATATTTCCCAGGAGGACGTTTTACACCCACAGTATGTTAGTAACAGTCTGTCTGGGGGAGCTGCCAGAAGCCAGTCAAAGGGATGAGGAAACTTGATTGCATGTTTATGCAAATGTAGATATATTCATGGAAGTACCCTGCCTGGGGAGTTAATCAGGAAGCTGAGGGCTTAGGGACCAACTTCCATGGAGTTGGGAGTGACCCTGGGAAAAAAGTGTAAGTCCCAGCTCTGTTAAGAAGTGTTCCTCATCCAGATCCACGCTGTACACGTGCAGGAGGAGGTTCATCCACCACCCCTGCCCGGAGCTCACACATCACCACGGTCCCAGCAGGGGCAGTGATCACATCCCCATCCACACCAAATGCTTGGGGTCGTTTGGTTTTTATCCATGCTCTCCTGTAGCGACGTTTTAGGGCTATTTTTTAGCTGTGTACATGTGGGTGATGTGCTTAGTGCCTCTCTTGTGCCTGACTTGCAGTGCTCTGCCTCGTGTCGTGCATCTGGAGTGGGCAGGACGCATCTGTGGGGCTGGGGGTGGTGGGGGAAAATCTCTCCTACCAAACTTCTCTGAGGGACCTGAGAGACATCATGCACCTTGGGGTTTATTCCTTATCCCAAACCTGCTTCCTGGCCAGAAAAAATGTTTTCCTCATGCTTTCACTGACTGAGGGCAAGGGAGAAAATTAATAGATTGCAGCCTGGCTGACAGATCCCTGCCTGGATATGGCCAGGCCTGAGCTCTGAGCTCCTGCCCCCATCCAGATCCCCATCTGTGCTTCTGCAGAGCCAGGCCCCACCAAAGAGTGGTGACAGTCCCTGGAGGGGCTGCTCCATATAAGAAGGCAGCCAGGGCCACCCAGCAGCTCAGGGACCTGCTCTTACCTGGGCAGCATGATGAGTCTGATGACAAAGGTCCACCTGTGCCTTTGACCAGCAATAGGGAATCAAGGCCCAGCTTAGTTCTGGTCTTGGCCAGATCTGCTTTTGGCCAGAACGTTCCTCCTCCTCCCTGCAAAGCATAAGTTATTTCTTTAAACACCACGACATCCCCACAGGGTGCAGATCTAACTCACCTGGACCTCAAGGGAAACACCCTGTGAAAGAGGTGACCCCTCGAGCTCCTGGTGGGACACACGTTTGCAGGAGACAAAATAACCCCGAGCAGGGTCAGAATCCCAAAGTGAGACACCCTGTTTTTACCTCCCTTCTGAGTTTCAGAAGTGTTCAAATCCCTCTTTGCTTTAAAGCCACCTCAGTCAGCCAGGCATTTAAAAAAGTCCCATCAGAGCCCTGCCCCGTCCCTGCGCCGCTCCACCCTCCAACTGACACGCTGTCTTCTGCCCTCTGAATTTCTTCTTCCCACCATAAGCAAGCGTCATCAGACCAGCCTCTGAGTTTGCTGCCTCTGTGCCCGTGACAGAAACACAGAAAAAACCAGGTATTTAAAGCCAGCCCGACGTGTTTTTCCCCTTCTCCTTGGTGCCTCCGCACGCTGGTGGGTAGCAGCAAGGCAGAAAGCAACGCTGCACGTAGGCTTAGAGGAGTAGATTAGATTTGGGTTGTCTCTGGGTTGCAAGGATCTGCTAGACATCTGCTTCCTTTGGCTGCTCGTGGTGTTTTCCGTGGTCAAGGTGGAGCTGTGGTCGTGTTTGGAGGATTGTGTTTGCTTTTGTCGCCTGTTGTGGGTTAAGAGGGGAGAGAAGAATGAGCTCATGGGCAAGGCCTGTGGTCTGAAGGCAGCTCGAGGCTGCCAAAATGGGTAGAAGAAAGGGAAATGGCAGAGTTCCCCTAAGGAGGATGAATTAAGTGCTATTCTCCTTTGCCTTCTGCAGTTCTGTTATTTCAAAACCTTCCTCGAAGTCTGTCAGGTTCTTCCTTGCCGTTTGTTACGTTTTTCCCGCGTTCAAAAAAAAAAAAAAAAAAAAAAAAGCTTTTTTTTCTCCCCCCCACTCTGGTTTGTGGCAGTTTCAGCAGTGCCAGTTCACCTCTGGGAAAAACACAGCCAACCTGAGCCCTGCTTGGTGGTTACGAGCTCCTGACAGCCTGGCTTTGTGTCGGGCCTGCAGAAAGGGGACCCCTGTTTATGTTTTGAGCAGGACTTTTTCAGGGTCCCCCACTACCCCAGCACTGTTTGCCCCAGTGGTTTTTGCTGTGCAGTGTGACTTCTTGGTTCAAGAAACCCACCAAGAGCAGCAATTTCCATCAGAGCTGCCCATCGTTTCCCATTTGTACCAACTGGGTCTGGGGGCAAAACGTGTCTCTCCCCCCTCCCAAAATATAAAACTGCCCATGATGGCCCTGAGCTGCAAGGGAAAGGTTCTCAGGATAATGAGCATTAATAATTTTCCTGGCTCTGTAAATGTGATTGAGTGGAGGTGTATGTGAATGACTAAAAAGCAAAATGCCTCCAGGGCTGTTTTTTATTGTGACTCTAATTAAACCCTTGCCAATTTGCACCGGGCTTTTTTCATATTCTCTTTAACACCATATTAATATCAATTGGTTTCCACTTTCCAGCTGAAAAGGACAGTGTCTATCACCTTCTCTTACAGCTCGTCATTAAAAAAATTATTATTTTTTTTTTACTTTTTCATTTTGTATTGTTTATCATCCCCTTGACAAGGCTGGGAAATCACATTTCTCTCCTACTCGGGTTTGTCCTTTGAAACTTGGCAAGGATCAAGAGATTTTTTTTTTTTAAATTTTTTTTTCCTCCTCCTCCTTATGTTACCCAACTGGAGCTTGAAATTAATAATATGGCTTTTTAAATTTTTTAGTCCTTGGTTTGTTTTCTAGCAAACCTGAAGATTGTTACCAATACTGAGGAGCTGGGGAGGGGGATGGAGCCAGTGGGGGTGAGGGTTTGCAGGGAAATCAAACAAGTGAGCTATAAATTTAATGCTGGTTTTAATTTCCCTGCAAATTGGTATTTTCTGAGAGAAGGGCAGAGCCTGAAGGAAGGGCTGGAAGTTGGGATTAAGAACCAGGATTTGGTGCCTCCATCCCAAGCCACCTGTGCTGTTTCAGCCCTGTTATTTCCAAGGGGTGCAGAGCAGGTGCTGATAAAAACACATGAGCAAACCCCTGTGTGTTGAGCTGGGCTGAGAACGGGCAGCTCAACACACGCTGCCATCCTGCCCTTCCCAATCCAAGGGCTCCCCAGCCCCTCCAGAGCCTGAGGACATGTTGACCACCCTGTGCCAGCAGCAGCGCTGGCATCAAGCGGGTGCAAGAACCCGCATGGCACAGGGTTGGGGCGGTTTGTTTTGGGGCTCTGGCTCCCCATCGGGGTTCTCCAGGGCTGCCTGTGGGACACCAGCTCTCCCAGCACACCCAGTAACACAACTTTCCCCTCTGATCACTCCAAGACTACACGGACTTGTCGGCGGCTGCCCCGCTGCAGGTGGGCTCTCCCCCGGCCCAGGCTGGCCCAGGAGCAGAAGGTGAGAAAGTGAGAGCCACTCAGTGGCTGAGCTGGGTCCTGCCAGTGAGAACCAGCTCCTGGTGCTCTGAGAACGCTGTAGTTTCCAGCTCTGAGCCTCTGCTTTCCATGCCTCTCTCCTCCTCCTCCACCTGGGAAAGAGCTCGGGGTTTTGTGTGTGCCCTGCACGCAGCTGGCACTCTGGTGAGGCTGCATTGAGCCTCGGGGTTTAGCCGTGTACATGAAAGATGAGGATGGTAAGTGGTAGAAGGGATTGTTCACAGCTTGCTGCTGGGGTGAACGGAGAGGATCATGGAAATCCTGTCATCTCCTGAGACCGGAGTCTGTTTGTAGAGCAGAATCACTCTGTAAATGGATAAGCCTGTGTTGTCTAGAGCGTAGATGCCTTCTTGTTCTCCTGAGTGACTGCCTAAGGTGAGCTGCTCCTGGTGGGAACCTTGGGAGGTTTCACACTGGCTGTTGAGGCTGAAGCTTCTCCTCCTCAGGGTTCCCACCAGCACACACTTCAGTAGCTGCCTGCTGGTGCTCAGCTCCCATTCCCCACCCAAGATCCTGTAGCTGCTCCAGCTGTAGACAGTGGCATCCCTTCCAGAGCAGAACACAGCACCCTGGGCCTGTCTCTGGTCTCACAGAGACACAAAGCTGCACTTGGTGCAGCAACAAGTGATAGGGCCACACCACAGCCATCAGGGCCGGATGGTGCTGTCAGTCTGTGCTGAGTCCTGACAGTGGTCTGCAGATTTGGCTTCTCTCCGTGCCTGGGCAATGTAAAGACCACATGTCAACACTCAGTCACCCAGCAGCTCCCACGCCCTCCCCTTAGGAACACTTTTCCTGTCTCTCTTCACATTTATAAATGCTACTTTTCAGGAGACTTTGTCTCTCGTTCCTGCTTCAGCACATCCTCAACCAGCTACGGCTCTGCCCACCCACCCCAGAGACCTGCCTAGAGCTTCCAGTGTCCCTTTGCCACCTTTGTAAGCAAACAAGGGGGGATCTGTGTTAAATCTGATGTTCTCTCTGATGCCACCTGTGGTGACCCACCAAACACAGCAGCACTTGGACGCAAGCTGAAGCCCCCAGACCCTCCCAAGAACATGCGAGGTAAGGCCATGCCCACCCCCAGGGTCAGGACAGGGCAGGTTTCCCCCTCAGTGCCATGGGCCAGGACAACCCACCTGTCCTCAGCATGACCATCAAATAATCCAGTCTCCTTCTTGGAGGGTCCATCTCAGCTCATTCTGCTGCTTATCCAGCCCCACAGAGGTCTTTTTGGAGACGTGTGGGGCTGGGAGAGCCCATGGGCTGCTTTGGGAAGGGTTTTTAAGCCATGGCCAAAGTCAACTGGGCGAGGTTAATTGGGCTGATGGGCTGCTCTGGCCCATCAAGGACAAGCCTTGTTAGCAGATCACCCTGCTCCCAACAGCCACAGCCATGGCCCCCTTATCACTGAGGGCTGTTGCTGTCAGGACGTGACTGACACAGGTGGTTGTAGCTGGCAGTGCCCACCCAGTGCCTCCTTGAGCCCCACAGCGCTTGCAAGGGCTCATGTTCCACAAATAAACAGCAGGACCTGTTCCCAAACACCTCAGTGCTGCTCCACCTTGCCCCTCACTGGGGTCACCAAAGCACAAAACCCCCCCAAGCACCAATCAAACCCCACCAGCTCGATGGCCTTTACCCCCAGTGCTGGATCATTCTGTGTGGGACGGGGTCTGGCTGGCAGCACAGCCCGCAGGGAGCACCATCCCAGCTGGGGCAGCCCCTCACCCCGAGGAAACATCCCAGTTTAGCCACACTGGGCTGGCCCCGGGAGCCCCTTCCCCTCCACAGCACTCAGGAGTGTTTCATCCTCTGGCGCAGCGGCTCCGAAGAGCAAACCAGGGCGCACAGCACACTCTGCAGGCAAGAAGCACGGCAAAAAAACAGGTACGTGCTGCTGGGGACGGGCCAGGCTGGAGCAGCACCTGCTCTGCGGGACCCCGTGGCATCCCCCTGCCAGACCCCAGCTCCGTAGCACTTTTCCTCCTCGCTGCTTTTTGGGTGCCAGTTGGCGTGACCGCCACCCAACCAAGTAGATGTTGTTTTCAAGCTGTTTAGACTTGTAGATCCTTATCCCAAACAACCCAAATCCACATCACCGAACGTGCCTAAAGGCGGGAGGGGGGGATGTGTGAGTAGCTCCTCCCAGCTCTGCAATAGCGCCGTGCGTGGAGTTTTTCATGCCCCAAACTTCGAGGAGGGGAGGAGAAGAGGAGGAATTTAGCAGCTCGCAGCTCCTGGTGCAGAAATGAGATGCCAGAGCTGCCAGAGGGGGTGTTCCTGGCTTGGCATTGTTCTCGTGGCAGAGCTGCTCGTGGCAGGGTGGTGTTAAGCAGTGAGAAAAAGGCGTGTCTCTTGATTTCTCTTAAGCGTCCTCAAAGAGCTCAAAACTCATCCGGCTCAAACCAAACGCTGGCCCAGTGGCTCCTATTGAATCCTACAGAGGTAAGAGGAGGGAGGGTGGTGCTCCAGGGCTTCTTGTCTTCACTCAGGTGATGTGGTCCAAGAGGCTCAGACATGGAGAGGATGGGGAGGGTCTGGCTATCCAAGTCAGCTGCATCCCCAGACTGAAACAACGCTTAGGAATTGCAGGCACAATAATTTGAGCTGAAATTCTTTGCATATTGGTTGACGAGGCAGAAGCTGTTTCACAGCAGGTTAAGATTACAACAGACTCTCAGCTCCTCCTCAGGCAGCTGTGAACCACGGGGAAACCTCTGCCCTGCTCCATCTTCCCTGGTCATCATTTCACTGAGACAACTCTCCTTCTCCAGTTGCATGTGCATGGCAACCCACACCCTTCCATCCCACCCCTGTCATCTTTGAATGTTTAATGTTACTTGCCTGGAACAAAGCCCCAGCTCTGAGCCTTCCTCCTCCTCCTCTCCAAAGGCTGGGGAAGCTCAGACCTGGATGACACCATTTCTGCCCACATTATTCCCTGCCCATGCTGTCTGGGAACCTCCTGATCAGGACAACTGGGCCATAAAGGAACTAATTCACCTCCTTTCCTCCTGCATTATCCTTTTAAACTCCCAGTAAGATCCAGCACCTGGATCTGACACTGCAAGGTTGTCACCGTCCCAAGTCATGGTAATCAAAATCAAACACAAGAACCACATCATCCAATTCCTCTGGCTCCAAATTCAGCCTGGCTGGTTGTGTTCTAACACATGCCCACAGCAGAGAGAGGTCAGCCCTGGGGACAGGAGCAGTGCTTGGCCAAGTGACGGTGGCACCTCCCACCCCCCAGCAGCCGTCAGGTTGTGCTGTGCCAGGCAGCCCTGGCTCAAACCTTCACACACCCGTCCACCAGCTTTTGAAGGACCCCACACAAGCCATGCTGCCTTGTACAGACTCATTTTAAACATTTAACCTGAGAGTCATCACCCTTCACAAGCAGCATTGGCTTGGGAAATACCAGGGGTGTGCTGAGAAGGGACACAGAGGGGAAAACGCCAGAGACAGCAAGGTTTTACCTGGACACACAGCACCTTCAGCTCCACTTGAGCACCCTCTGCCAGCCCCCTCTGTGCCCAGCGAGGCAGAGCCTTCACCAGGGCTCTGCCACCTCCCCAGAGCCAAACCCAGCTCTGCTCATTAACAAGGTTCTGTGGCTCCTCTCCTCCGCCCGGAGGGAGGGAGGGAGTGCCCAGCCCAGCCCCCAGGTCTCTCATCCTCTCCGCAGACTGTGAATGCTACGGGCACTCCAACCGCTGCAGCTACATCGACTTTCTGAACGTGGTGACCTGCGTGAGCTGCAAGCACAACACGCGGGGGCAGCACTGCCAGCACTGCCGCCTGGGCTTCTACCGCAACAGCTCGGCCGAGCTGGACGACGAGAATGTGTGCATAGGTGAGTGTGCCAGCCCCGGGCAGGGCCGCCGGGCTGTGGGGTGGCTCATCTGGGTCCTCACTCTGCGGGGTGGGCTTCAGTTCAGCCCCTCTCTGGAGGATGCTGTGCCCACCTGCGTGCTCCACCAGGATGGTGGTTATTACGGTCTCTGCAGCTTCCCAAGGAAGCTCTTCCCTGAAAACAAGCCCCAGATAATATAATAGAATCACAGAATGGTTTGGGTTGGAAGGGATCTGCCTTAAAGATCATCTCATTACAACCCACTGCCGTGGGCAGGGACACCTTCCACTGGCCCAGGTTGCTCCAAGCCCTGTCCAACGTGGCCTTGGACACTTCCAGGGATGGGGCAACCACAGCTGCTTTGGGCAACCTGTGCCAGGGCCTGTAAAACAGGGCTGTAAAACAGTTTCAGATGCATTGCTGAGCCAGGAGGGGCTCAGCTCCAAAGAAGGGTGGCCTTTGCACCCATGGCTGTTTGCACCATCAGGGTGTCTCAGGCCACTGTGTCCTTCCCTGGTCTATGATGTCCCTCCTGTAGCACATTGTTGGGCTTTTCCAAAGTCCCCAACGCCTCCCTCAGGGCATGGGCATGCAGAGAGGCCCCGGGCAGGGCAGGCTCTGACCAGAATGTCTCTGGCCAGAATGTAACTGCAACCAGATCGGCTCCATGCACGACCGCTGCAACGAGACCGGCTACTGTGAATGCAGGGAAGGCGCCACGGGGCCCAAGTGCGACGACTGCCTGCCCAACTACTACTGGAGACAGGGCTGCTTCCGTGAGTACCGGGGCTGGAGAGGCACGGGGATGTGTGGATGGGCCCAAAAATGAGGGGGATCTTCAGCACTGTGATGCTCGGGGTGGAGGGTGAGCAGATTCCAGCCATTCCTCCCAACTCCAAAACGACTCAGTGGCTTTGTCTGTGCAGTTTGCACCTCCCACTGTGTTCCTCTGGCCTTGGAAGTGCTGTGGGTTGGATAACTGAACCCCTAGGAGCCAAAAGCTTCTAGTTTGTGCTGCAATCAAGGGGTTCAACACCCACACCCTTCCCTCCACCCCTCCCTCTCGCCCCGTAGCCAACGTCTGCGACGACGAGCTCCTGCTCTGCCAGAACGGCGGCACCTGCTACCAGAACCAGCGCTGCATCTGCCCCGTGGGCTTCAAGGGGGTGCTGTGCCAGCAGTCCAGGTGTGAAGTGGACAAGAAGGACTGTGACGGTGCCCCCGGCGCGGGCGGCAGCCTCGGCACCGTGGCCCTGGGGGTGCTGGCCCTGCAGCTGCGCGCCTGGGGGGACCTCTGACCCCGCAGGGGAGGGGGCCCAGCCCAGGCACGTCGCCCGAGGGACCTGGGGAGCCCGAGGTTAACGGGGTGGCTCTCCCCGCCGTCTCCTCCGCCTTCCTCCGCGCCAGGACTTGCACAACTTTGGGCCCGCTCTCCCAGCAGGGGTACCCGCAGAGAACCCCGGGCCGGCTCCTGCCCAGCCGGGGTGGCCCAGCCCAGAGCCGGCTGTGGAGTGTGGGGACTGCACAGCCCGTGCCAGGGACGTGGGCACGTCCTGCCCTCAGCACAGGGACTCTCCTTGCCTGCCCCACGCAGGGCCAAGCTGGGGCCAGGGCCCTGCTGAAATAGTGCCGCGATCCAAGGGAGATTTTTTTTATTCTTACTTTCTTTACTTTGGTATAGGCTGGGGTGTTCTTTTTATTTTTTTCCCCTTCCTCTTAGTGTCCTGTTTCGAAAGAGCCTGTCATGATGACTCCAGAGCCCCACAGCACAACAGGCAGGGGAAGGGGAGGGAGGGAAGGGGGGGACTCTGGTCCATCCCTGCTGATAGTCCCACATCCCACCATCGGCCTGGCCTGGCCACGCACATACTGTTGCCTACAACTCTAGTTGCTGCATTGATTTTGTATTTTCATTGCTGGGGTTTGTTTCCTTGCACTTATGGAGGGCCACGAGGCCACGAGGTACGTGAGGAGTGCAGTGTCTTATCCACACATGTCCGAATAGTGTACAGTTCAAATACTTTTTTTTGGTAGAGACTTATTTTTGTTTGGATTAAATGTTATAACAGAACCACAACTTAAAGGGACATTTTGCCATGAGCATTTGATTCTGGTGTATTCTCCTCCAGTAAAGCAACTATTAATGGCTGCTTGATCACCACGTTTTCCTTTTTGTGTGCACAGTTAATTACAGGTAAAGACTTATTTTTTTGATTCATAATGTCCTCTTGTGTTTTCTGAGTCACTACCAAGGTGCACCACATGGTGAGGGAGAGGGGAGGGAGAGAGAGGTTGCCTCATCACTGAGAGCTGTTAATTATTTCTCCTAATTACTTTGCTGAACCTAGGTTAGATTACTAACTGTAGATGATGAACAAAGCCTGAGTGATGCATTAAGCAACTGGTCCTGTGTGGAAAGGCCATTTCCAAATGAGCCTGTGGCAGGGGAAGGCTGGCTAGTCCAGGGATGCTTCTCCAGGTGGACCTCAGTTGTCCCAGTCCCATTCCAGCTCCCCCTGCCTCCAGCTGGTGCCATGATGCACCTTTTGATGACAATGCTCTTTATTTTGAGTATCAGCCTAGAATTTCAGTATAGAGCTCATAGGGAGTAGATAACTTATTTAAGGCTCACAAACATGCCCCTGTCTGAGGAGGCATTTGCAACCAAGCACACAAGCAAAGGCAGGAGAAACCAGAGACAAGAAATGATGTAACTCAGTCAGAACAGTGAGAATGTCACAAACACAAGAGCTTTGGTGTTGTCGTATCCAAAGATTTGGATTTCCTTGACAGATGAGCAGCCCTTGGTCCCCATCCCAACTCCAGGATGGTCCCTGAGCCAGCCCAAGGAGCTCCAAACAGTCCAGGCTTCAGCCTCCACTGGCATCTCCAGGTTGCAGGATAGATATTGTCACTTCAAAGAGCAACACAAATCTGGGTGCACATTTGGAGCATCACTGAAATCATGGGGGCAGGACACGGGGCTTAGTTAATCCACTGTAAAATGAAAGAGGGGTTAAACTCACCCTGCTGAGATTTGATCCTGGAGGAGGTGGGCTGGCCCCAGCAGTGCCTCCCTGTCTGTAACATTCTCTTGGTATCAACACTTGCTCTTTCTTTCTGGCTGCCACAGATTTAAATCCTCATATGTTACTGTTCTTACAAGTAATAGCAGAGAAAAGGCTGTAACGAGATCAAGATCTCTGATGGCACTTCTGGAAGGTGAAGAAACACTCTCCTTTCCCTGTACTGGTGTTTTTCTCTAGAATATTAGATTAAGCATCAGAAAATTTACTGTTTCATAAAGCCATATCCCAGACAAGCTCTGCTCCCAGCAGATTCACCTTTATTGCAATGCAAGCAGGAACGTGCCAAGCAGCAGCACCGAATTCCTGTAGAAAATAACCTCAGAAGGGCACAACAAAGCTCAGAACAGCCCAGGAACAAAGACTGCTGGAGGCAATAGACCCCTGCACTAGACCTTTTGAGGTTTGGGCATTTTCTCTTGGTTGATTGGGTGTTGGCTGTTTGGCTCTGGGGTTTTAGAATCATAGAATAGCTCGAGTGGGAAGGGACCTTTTAAATGTCATCAGGTTCAACTTCCCTGCACTGAGCAGGGGCATCTTCAGCTAGACATTTGTAAGATAAAGCATCCTTGGCTTCCTAACTGAGCTCCAGAGATGGTGCCACCTCCCTGTGAGCCCTGAATACCAGTGAGATTCAGCCCTGGCCCTGCTTTGTCACCAAAGCCCAGTGGATGGTTCTGTAACTCCCAGCAGAAGCAGAAGGTGGCTGCAGCACAAACCCTCCTGCAGCTGTGCCACGGGACACCTGAAAACTGCTGGGGAACAAAACCACCAGCCCACCCTCCACGCCGTGGGCACCATCCCTGGGCTCTTCCCAGTCATGCAGAAGCCAAACCCTCTGAAACAGCGACTGCAAAGAGCAAACATGACACGTTCCACCTCACAGAAGAAATCAAATGGCCTAAAGGCCGTGAACAGGAGGCAGTTTTGGATGTCCCTCCCATGGCTCTGCCTGCAGTGCAGCTCAGCCAAAGCCAGCCCTGTGTGTGGGACACTAGGACAGAATTTTACCTGTCCCAACGTGCTGTAGAACTTGAAATCACATAACACAAAACCACTGCAAGACAGAAAACCTCTCACAGGAAAACTTACATTTGGCATTTAAGAAAATAATTTGAAGCTTCTGAAAGCTTCAGCACTGAAGATCCATTAACTGCAGACATCTGTTAGCACAGGGGTGTCTGCACAAAGAGAACTGAGCATTATTGAAATAACACAGAGAAACCATCACAGCAAGTACCCACAGATCCCAAAGTTCATCTTCTTTAAGATAGAAACGTTTGTACATCACCTAATGCTTCCAAATGGGAGAAGTTTTCCAATGAGCTTGATGCTTTACTTGGGGAAAGGTTAACCAGAAGGTACTTCTCTTTCTGAGAAAAGCCTCTTGCACTCTTTCAAGAGGCTCCATGTGCATCCTGTCACCAGCATTTGATTCCCTTGAAAAAGTTTTTAAATTACACTTCTGCCTGCAAAAAAGTGACCTCTCCAAACAGCACAAGTAGAGCTCTTGATTTTTCTTGTTTACCTCAAATTTCTACCCTGATTTTAACTATTTAGAGTACCAGCAAATCCAAATAACCAAAAGCCCCAAGGCAACAAAAACCTGCCCGATGTAAAATGTTAAACCAAGAGTCCCTGGGAGCTGGAGATGGAAGGAGGGGGGGTGTGGGAGAGGTGTGTGTGTGTGGAGAATTCCATTGGCACTTCCCAGGTATGTTATTTGGGTTTTCAAAGATGAGGGAGCAGACATCTCATCTCATCTCATCTGCAGGAGTGACCCCTACAGGAGCCCTGCGGAGGCTGGAGAAGAAAACCAACACTTCAGTGGGAATAAAATTAATGGTCTCACCAATTAAAATGGGGGGGGGGGAACTGATGGGATTTCTCTGTGGCAAAGGCAGTTCTTGCTTCCTGCAACAGTGAAATCAGTGACGACACCGAACAGCTCCACCAGTGCAGCCTGTTGGGCTGTAAAATAAAGGCTTTCTCCATTTTCCCAAGAACAGATGTGATGTGCTCTCAAGCCACCTTCACTTCCATCATGCTTTTCCTGGGAGCTGGTGGCAAATTAGCCGAGGCCAGAGCAGACATATGGTGAGGAGGGCCCGTGTCAGGGATATTGGATGTCCAGGGCTGCTTAGCTCACATTTATTTGCACTAAAGAATAAGGCATCGGGCTCCTTTCCAAGCAGCTTAAAAAGACAAGAAAGGAGACCTTTTATATTGCTTGGGAATGGACCCGTTGTGCCAGGAGACTGTATTATATCATTAACATTATAAATTCCATTTACAATACAGCAGTCATTTCATCCATCATTTATTCATGCAGAAGGGAGGGGATGTCCTGCATTTTTAGGACAGTGGTTCTCCTTGCCCACAGCATCGCTCCAGCCACAGGGCTGTGAATGAACAGCCCAGCTCCAACTGTTGGATGCTCCCAACTTCTCCCTTCCCCACCCAAAAGTGAACCCCAGCATCTCACCACACGCTTCAGCAGCTGTCAAAACCCCAAATCAGCTCTGAAATCATTGGTGTTCCACGTTGTCTTTCAGATGCTGACTGAGAAGGTTGTTTAGCCCCAATCAGTAAGTTTGGTCACTACAAGTTCTGCCTTGCCCTGGAAGCTCTGTGCTTCCCCACACCACAGCAGCAGGGGTGGGGGCTATTCCCATTCCATGGGCTAGCACAGGGAAGAGGGGAAGTGCCTTTCCAGCCTGCACATCCCTCTCCCAGCTCCTGTGCCACCATTCATTAGACCAATTGCTAATTAACTACTGCACTCAGCTGCTCTAGGAGACAGCACAGGAAAAAAATCGTTATCCCACCAGTACTCCCAGCAGTGGAAGTGGGAATGGAGAGACTGGGAGGAAGGAGAGGCCAATGCCTCATGTCCTCCCAGGAGTCTGGGATTGTCACTCACAACTCCAGGGGCACCATCAGCTCTCAGCACCGCTCAGGCCCCTCCAAAACCTCCCTCCTGCACTTCCCAAGTGGAAAATGCTCCTGCAAAAACTGCTGGTTTCCCTCTGGTGCCCCATGGACAGCTGGTAAGGCAGCACCCACGGCATGCACAGGGACACAGAGGGAAGGGACACTTCCCAGAGAGCAGTGCCTGCTGGGTGTCATCACTGCATGTCATCACTGCACACACCTGCTTTGCTCTCACAGTGCCCTGACAGGCAGTGATGACTTGAAAAACAACCACAGCAAACCTTAAAGGAAAAAGGAATAACCACCATTATATCCACCTTTACTGGAAAGCCTATTTTGTGTACAAAGAATAATTAAAAAAATAAAAACACACACACACCCCAAAAACCCTGAACTCTGAACAAAACATAGTCCAACACTTACAAGAAGACTTTCCCTTCTTCCTGATATCCAAGACCACAGAGGGAACTGGCTTTGCACTCAGAATTGAGCTGCCAAGCTTGGAAACAGCATGGAAGCCTCTGTATAAAAACCTGGATACTGCTCCTTCCAAAGGGTTTTGGCATGACCTCCAATAAAGTGTTTTACAGAAAGTTGTGTTGAATATGTTTCTTCACTGATTTTGTTCCAAATTTCAACACTCAGGAATCATTAAACAGCCTCCTCTAATGGCCACCAGTTCTGAGATGTTATAAATGACTAAAGCAAGTCTGTGCTCACAGTTTACACACACTGACTGCCCCATCACTACCCAGCACTTTGTAACACACAGTGGAAACAGCAGAGAAGTTATGAAAATTGTACCTGATCTGTTTGGTGCCCATTGCAGATTTGAGTCCGTGAGAAGAGTGCTTTGGATGGGATTTTGTTTGGTTTTCCATGTTATGGGTATAAAACAAAAGGGGAAAAAAGTTAATTAAAGCTATAAACCTGCTCTGAGGGGTATGTGAAGAGGGAGAAGTGTTCTAAGTGCAACAACCCAGGCATTGTTTTATTCATAAATACATCATTAATGATACCCACTGATATGGCAGCAATAAGCCACCACTGAAAGACCAACAACTCCAGTCAGATAAATCCTGGATTAAATCAGCAAAAAAGTCTGAGCCACTGACCACACCTCAGAGAGGATTTATGGAAAAACACGGGTGTTGGAGAGCAGAATAAAAATGAAATGTTACAACAAAATTCCTTCCAGCAT